AGTAGCTGGGATTACAGGCACGCACCACCATGCCCAGCTAATTTTTTGTATTTTTAGTAGAGACGGGGTTTCACCATGTTGACCAGGACGGTCTCGATCTCTTGACCTCGTGATCCACCCGCCTCGGCCTCCCAAAGTGCTGGGATTACAGGCTTGAGCCACCGCGCCCGGCCTTAGACTATTTCTCAATAATAAATTTCCAGAAGAGTATTACTGAGACATCAAAGTTATAAACATGGTAATAATTCAATACATATGGTGAAAACATCTCTCAAAAAAGGCGGGGCATGGTGGCTCATGCCTGTAATCCCAGCATTTTAGGAGGCCAAGGTGGGAGGATCACTTGATGCCAGGAGTTCAAGAGCAGCCTGGCCAACATGGTGAAACTGTCTCTACTAAAAATACAAAAACTAGCTGGGTGTGGTGGTGCATGCCTGTAATTCCAGCTACTCAGGAGGCTGAGGCAGGCAGGAGGCGGAGGTTTCGGGGAGCAGAGATCACACCACTGCACTCCCTCTGCCTTACCCCCGTGCCTTATTTCATCTCGTCCCTAAGCAGCTTTTCCTAATTTAATTCTAACGTCTTCCTCATATTCGGTACACACTGGGATCCAGGAGCAGAAGATACTAAGATGTTTAGGGTTATTACCTGCCCCAAAGCATCTCAGTCTAGCAGGAAAACAAAAGAGGCATGCAGATGCAATTCACTTCTTTTTTTTTCTGACATGGAGTCTCACTCTGTGTCACCCAGGATGGAGTGCAATGGTGTGATCTCGGCTCACTGCAATCTCTGCCTCCCAGCCGGGTTCAAGCAATTCTCCAGACCCACCCTCTCCAGTGGCTGGGACTACAAGGGTGCACCACCACGCCCAGATAATTTTTTTGTGTTTTTAGTAGAGATGGGGTTTCACCATGTTGGCCAGGATAGTCTTGAACTCCTGACCTTATGATCTGCCTGCTTCAGCCTCCCAAAATCCTGGGATTACAGGATTACCATGCCCAGTTGCCCAGGCTGGAGTACAGTGGCATGATCTTGGCTCACTGCAACCTCTGCCTCCTGGGTTCAAATGATTCTCCTGCCTCAGCCTCCCTAGCAGCTGGGACTACAGGCACCTCCCACCACCTCTGGCTAATTTTTGTATTTTTGGTTTCCCCATGTTAGCCAGGCTGGTCTTGAACTCCTGACCTCAAGTGATCCACCCACTTTGGCCTCCCATAGTGCTAGGATAGCAGGCGTGAGGCACCATGCCAGGCCTGCCCTCTCTCTTATTTACAGCGATTTACATTTATCTCGTCCCACCTAACAAGTTAGGTGGAATTTGCATGTTAAATAGCTCTCCGAGTGATTTCTAGATACACTAAAGTTAACTTTAGTGTATCTAGAAATCACTCGGAGAGCTATTTAACATGCAAATTCCACCGTCTCTAGAGTGGGCTGGTGGATCTCTAGCTCCTTCCTACTCTATTGTGGTCCAGGGACCAGGACTAGCAGCACTCCCTGGAAATTGATAAAAATACCAAATCCTGGGCCCCTACCCTGAATGAGAACCGGCATTGTGAAGTTCCCCCGGTATTCCTTCCCACATAAAGTTTGAGAGTGAGAGTCCAGCTCAATATTTCTCCAACTTGCCTGAGACCCATAGTAGGCAATGTATTTTATATTGACACCCAGCATACATACACATCCCCAAGTGATTCCCATCAATATTTTCTATTCTACTCTATGCTTATTCTCTTTTTTAAGAAATGTGGGTCTCAGCCACTGAATTGATTTCCCACCCCACTAAGACATGCAACTCTGCAACGTGCCATTCGAAAAACACAGCTCTAGTGATTTCACTTCAGCTACATTAGCCTGGGCAGAGATGAATCAGAAACTGGCTCACCACGGCAGAGGTTACATCCATTTATCTCACTTTCTTTTATTCTTGGGGTGGGAGGAAAAGTAGGTATCTTTTTTTTTTTGACAGAGTTTTGCTCTTGTTGCCCAAGCTGGAGTGCAATGGCACAATCTCGGCTCACCACAACCTCTGCCTCCTGGGTTCAAGCGATTCTCCTGCCTCAGCCTCCCGAGTAGCTGGGATTACAGGCATGCGCCACCACACCTGGCTAATTTTGTATTTTTAGTAGAGATGAGGTTTCTAGATATTGGTCAGCCTGGTCTCAAACTCCCGACCTCAGGTGATCTGCCTGTCTCAGCCTCCCAAAGTGCTGGGATTAGAGGGGTGAGCCACTGTGCCTGGCCAAAGAACAGGTATCTTTATGAATAGGAGCAGCTTCCACAGCCTTGGGAAGTTGAGGATGCTTTTCTTTTCTTTTTTTTTTTTTGAGACGGAGTTTCACTCATGTTACCCAGGCTGGAGTGCAATGGTGCGATCTCGGCTCACCGCAACCTCCGCCTCCTGGGTTCAGGCAATTCTCCTGCCTCAGCCTCCTGAGTAGCTGGGATTACAGGCACACGCCACCATGCCCAGCTAATTTCTTGTATTTTTATTAGAGACGGGGTTTCACTATGTTGACCTGGATGGTCTCGATCTCTTGACCTCGTGATCCACCCGCCTGGCCTCCCAAAGTGCTGGGATTACAGGCTTGAGCCACCGCGCCCGGCCGAGGATGCTTTTCTTCACCTGGGTAACTGCCCCCTGGTTAGAGACCCCCCTGTTTCATCCTCTGCATTAGCCTTTGGGGGAGAGGAGCTGCACATGGAGGGTTTGTGGAAAAGAGCCCAGTCCTTCTAGTGGGATGCCCTCACCGGGCGAGACAAGTTGAGCACTCACCTTCAGAGGGCCCAGGTGGCTGCTTCCCCAGCTCTGTGACCTGAAGGCTCACAGGAATGTCCAGAAATTTCTCATAGCAGTCTCCATACCACACAAGGAGCTCTTGGTTCTGGTGGATCTCTTTGCAGCTCTCATAAAATATATGCCCTTGACACTGCACAGCAACTAGGTTTTGCTCCTTGGGGAAGCGGGCACAGTTGACGTAGGACATCCAATTCCCCATACCTCCTTTTCCATCTATAAAGTGGCTCAAACGACCATCTTCAAAGATCTAAATGAAGTAAGACATGAAGTTTGTACTGTACTTTTTAATTTTGAATCTACAAAATGAACTTTGAAGAACTTATAACCCAAATCTCACATTTGAGTCCACCAAATAGACTTCTATCATTCAGATTTTTTTTTTTTTTTGAGATGGGAGTTTCTGTTGCCCAGGCTGGAGTGCAACGGCACAATCTCAGCTCACCGCAACCTCTGTCTCCTGGGTTCAAGCGATTCTCCTCCCTCAGCCTCCTGAGTAGCTGCGATTACAGGCATGCACCACCATGCACAGCTAATTTTTTGTATTTTTAATAGAGATGGGTTTCTCCATGTTGGTTAGGCTGGTCTTGAATTTCTGACCTTAGGTGATCCTCCCGCCTCGGCCTCCCAAAGTGCTGGAATTATCGGCATGAGCCACCGCGCCCAGCCTATTATTCAGATTTCTACATCATTACACGTAGTTTATAAATCTACTAACACCAATGTAGATTTGTTAGTTTAAGGACATCTCTCTAGGTAATGTCACATTTTTTTTGTAAAGAGATAGAGTCTCACTCTATTGCCCAGACTGGAGTGCAGTGGCCCAATCACAGCTCACAGTAGCCTCGAATTCCTGGACTCAAGTGATCCTCCCACCTTAACCCCTGAGTAGCTGGAACTACACAGGCATGCATCATCACACCTGGCTAATTTTTTAAAAAAATTTTTTGTAGAGACAGGGCCTTACTATGTTTCCTGGGCTGGCCTCAAACTCCGGAGCTCAAGTGATCCTCCCACCTTGGTCTCCTAAAGTGCTAGAATTACAGGTGTAAGCCACTGAGCCTGCCTAATGTGATTCATTCTTAAAGATTCTTTTATCACTTTCTTGCTTCCCAAATTTCTGTAGTGAGCATATGTTAATTTCATAAGCAGAGGTAAGTGAAACCAAAAGGTTACAGTGAATTCCACCACTTAAACACAACAGTTTTGATTTTACCCCCACTTAGTTTTCATGCATATTGATGGAGCTACAAATGATTTCATTCAAGACTGGGCGTGGTGGCTCACACCTATAATCCCAACACTTTTAGAGGTCAAGGGGGAAGAATCACTTGAGATCAGGATTTCAAGACCAGCCTAGCCAACATAGTGAAACCCCATCTCTACTAAAAATACAAAAATTAGCTGGGCATGGTGGCACATGCCTGTAATCCCAGCGGCTCGGGAGGCTAAGGCAGGAGAATTTCTAGGAGGCAGAGGTCACAGTGAGCTGAGATCGTGCCACTACACTTCAGCCTGGATAACAGACAGAGACTCTATCTCAAGAAGGAAAAAAAAGAAAAATTATTTATTTCTCTGCTGCTGGCAATTTCACTGTCTCCAATGTTTTGTTATTATAAACAACCCTGGAATTAACATATACCACATAGCCTTGATTTCAGATTATTTTCCTATACTTTATTTCTAGAAGTAGAAATTCAAGGTCAAGGGATTTTGAGCATTTTAAGGTATCTGATACATTCTGACAAATGGTTTTCTCTTGCAGGTGACAAACTGCAGTCCCACCAGCATGTCCCTAATATATCATCACTAGATCTTGAAGAGTATCTGTTGTTGTTTTTTTTAAATCCTTGACTAATTTTATAAGAGAATAATATTGAATTTTAAAACTTTCAGCACTCTATAATATCTAAAGCATTTGGTTTTGTCTATAAATATAATATAATGTATTGATTCTTTAAATGTCTATTCCATAGCTAATCTTCCAGACTAAAATGACCTAAGGCACCCGCAAAACACAGAATTCATGCAGAGGTGCTAACCTCATGGAGCAAACACTAGCCCTTCCTTCCCTTTACAGGGAACAAGCCCCAGATATCTGCCCTGGATGTCCCCTCTCTCTCAGCAGGACTCTCCCAGAGTGGCAAAGGCCAAGGCTTTCCCCTCCTCGTCTCCCGCCCCACTTTCAGCAGCACAGCCACCAGAAACAGATTTACCTCCCACATCACAGAATTGTCTCCGTAGGTCTTCACTTCACTGGCGTTGACCACTTTACCTTGAAAGGGCCCAAACCTGACTCCTTTGGCAATAAAACTACTGCAGAACACGCCGAAATGTGGGACTTCACCAAACACGGTCCGCATGAGGCACAGACCTGGGGGAAAGCCCAGGCAGGAAAGAATGAGGAGGGTGACTCTGTGTGAGTTCAGGGAAGAAATTCACGCAAGGACTTCTGCCTACCTTCTGGAAGTTGAAGGGAGTCTTTATCCAGAGTTTGAGGAGGAGAATCAGATCCTAGTAAAAGGCAGTTTTAAACAGTTTTTTGTTAGAAATGTATTATGAAGTGCTTTTATAAGGTGTTTTCCTCCTTAACTCCCTAGAGGTAACCATCATCCCAGTTTGATGTTTATTTGTCATTTCTATTTTTCCATCCTCATTTTACATGAGCTGTCCATTTACGATCTCACTCTATGCAATTCCATACACAATTTCTCATTTGAAACTCAGAACAGCCTCATGCAAGGTTATGTAATTAACCCCATTAGGCAAATTTAAGGGATTTAAGGATCGGAGTTAATGCTGGAATGAGGTAAAGGTAGCTGGCTGAGAGGGGACTCTTAGGTGTGAACTGCTGGAAGGCTGTCATTGCATGTTACCACAGAATCTGAACCCGCGTGGGAGTTCACTGCATGAACCATTTCTCTCTTGGTCCTTAGCTCTCACTGAAACCAACCTTGGTCATGCAGTTAAGCAATCAGGGCCTCAGAAGTGAGCCTAGCCGACCCTGGCTCTCACGGAGGTACCTCTCCCCCACAAGCTCTACACACTCAGCTCCACCTGGAAGTGCCTCTTTCCCACTCCCGCTGCTCCCACGTGCATTCCCATCCAATTCAACTCCCAGATGGTGTGGGCTCCCTTTACCAGAGCTGTCTGTGGGGACCAGGAGCCCTGAAATCGCATGCTGCAGGCTGGCTGGGTGCTCCAGGCTGGGAGTGGTCCCGTATAGAACGAAGTGCAGATCTTCCTCCGTGAAGTGGAACCGGGCAGGCGACGTCCTCTCTTGGTTGGAGGGTTTGGGACCATCCTCAGGCTGCTTGCTGGGTGAGCAAGGTAAGAACTGCGAGGTCCTCAGCCCATCAGGTAACAGAGAGGCATCCACAGGGGGCGGTGGAATGAAAGTTTCGGGTCCACAACACGGGTCACTCTCGTTGCGGCCACCAGTGATTTGGTGGCCCAGATCTTCACCGCTGGCCCCCATGTACTCGCGGCTGCAGCTCAGGAAGGGCGGCACTTCCCTGGGGACGTGAGGAATTGGGTACCACGGTGGCAGCTTGCCGTACCAGGGCAGATCATAGAGAGGCTCCCTCTGTAGGCCCAGACTCGGGCTCAGCACGGGAGGCGCCATGCGGAAGGCAAAGGGGGGCATGGCCGGGGCAGCAGACGCGGCGGCCTCCAGCTGCCGGAAGGGTTGGAAGTCTTCCTCCGCGGTGGCCAGGCCGTTTCTGTAGTGTCCATAGGCCGGGAAAGGCGTGTAGTACGCGGCCAGGTTCTGCGGGCTGCTCTCGGGGAGGTAGCACACCTTGTCCGGAGGGGCGGCCTCGCCTGGCCGGGGAAGAGCCATCCCGGGCCCGCGTGCTAGGAGGCTCTGCGGAAAAGTGGGCACCGCTGACGACACCACGCGGGCCCTGCCCGGGGTCCAGCCCGCACCTCCCGGCCTGCTCCCTCCACCTGAGCCAGCCCCGGGCCCAAGGGAAAAGGCTAAACCTCTCAGTCGGATCCCGCCAACCCTCTCCCGCAATTAAGACAAAACGAAAAAACAGCAATAGAAGCAAACACAAAAAGCCCCAAACGAAAATCTGCCGGGAACCCGCCTGACTCTAAATTCCAGGTTAGTGTCGCCTCGGTCTTCCCTTCCTCAAGCCCGGCTGCTTCCACACACCCGCTCTCCGCTTTCGGCCCCAACCCGGTTCCAGCAAAACCTGTTGAAGTTCTCTCTCCTTCCTTCTTCTCCGCCCAACAAAACTCTTTTGCAGGGTCTGAGCCTCAGGGCCCTCCCAACCCCGAGGCTGGGTCTGGAGCGGAGCTCAGGAGGCGGGAGGGCAATGGAGCAGGCGACAGCTTCAGGCGCTCCTGGGCCCTCAGCTGGGAGGGAGGAGCCGACGAGCCGGGGTCGCACCCCGCAGATGGAGACGCGCTCCCTGAGCCACCGGGCAGGTCCAGGGACCCCACGACCTGCTCCGGCCCAGCGGTCCTGACTGCCCGCAAGGGAAGGGCGCGCCGCCGTCTGCTGCCCTAGGATGCGCCTCCAGAACCCTGTTTTCCCTCGGTCCCTCGGAAACTTCAGTCATTCTACCAGGACTATTCGGGCCTGGGGTCGCTCCTCCGGAGCCGCTTGGACGGGCCCCGGCCAGATGGGAGAGAAGAGCCCCGGCGACCGCCTGTCCTACCGGCCCCGCGCCGCCGGGAAAGGATGGCGTTTTAATGGACAGGCAGCAAGTTCACCGAGGCTGAAGAATGAAGCCCCTTCAGGGCCGGCCGGTCTTGAGATCAATGAGCCCAATAAGAAAACCAACCAGGGTCGTGACTCAGAAATTAAAGAACACGGGGTCAGGAGAAGAGGTCAGCCAGGACGCAGGCAGCAGCCAGTCTCCTCCCGATCCTCCAAAGGCGCCCCGCTCTTGGCTTCCTCCGACCTCAGGGATCTGCAACTTGGGATTCAAAGCTCCCGTGAGGCAAAACGAGCATCCAAAACGAACTGCGCCAGCGACTGCTGCCGCCCTCCCCAGCGGCCCCAGAAGACCACTGTCCCCTGCCCCAGGCGCGCCCTGCCCTGTGCCTACCTCCGACACCACCTCCGAGAACGCTGCGGCGGAGCAGACACCTCCAGGACGCTGCAGGGCCACTCGGGCTCGGTAGACTTCGGGCGGGCCCCGAGGGCTGAGCCAGGTTTAAGAGGGCGGGCGGGGCCGCGGGGCATCCAGAGGGCGAGGGTGGGGAAGGGACCCGGCCCACGCAGATCCCCGCGGCGTCTTCTCCCCGCCCACCGCAGCCATTGGCGGACTCTCGATTCGTCACCCCTGTCCCCTGGGGTCGCGCACTTAACTCATCAGTTCTCCAAACGCTCCCCGGGACCCTGTTGGAGAGCGCTCGCTGCTGGCTTTTCAGGGCCGGCACTATTGCCGCTCCAGGAGTACGGAGTCGGGGAGCTAAAAGCCGGACACATGTGCTACCCAGGGTCCCCAGATACGCCCCTCCGCGCGCACATGAACCCGAGCCTAGAAGGCAGGACTCGCGTCCTGGGTCGAGCCCCTTACTCTCCGCTCCCAGTTCGGAGAAGCCCAGCCCGCCCGAAGGCGGCGTCTGAGCCGCTGGTGCACCTGGTGGGCGTCGGTTCCTGACACCTGGGGACGAAACGGGCACCTCCCTGAGCGCTGGGAAGAGGCTCCTCGTGAGTCCCCGGCGGTGACACGTGGGCGTGTTGGGCCCGGCACCCCCAACACTTCCACGGTTTCGGGTGGTCGTTTTGCTCTCTCGGGGGCCTTTATTCCTTAAGTGGCTTTCAACGACCTAGGAAGGGCCTCCCGCACCGCCGCAGCTGTCACTTCCCTCGGGGAAGACTCGCGACCTTGGACGCGCAGGCTCTGAAAACCAAGGTCCAGACCCATACCGAGCTCCCAAAGACCGCATTTGAATTCCCCTGGCCGGCCATTGAGGGAGAGAAAGGAGCATTTAGTTCCATTCACATTCACAGAAGGAAGCGCCGAGGGTGGGGGAAACGCGGTCCCGCCGAGTAAGCAGGGCCGGGTTCCTTGCTCCCCACACCCCCAACCCCGCGCCCCGCCAGCCCGGCCGCGGATCCCTCTAAGCTGATTGGGGAGAGACCCGCCCCAGGCGCGACCGTTGGGATGAAGACCGAGGTGCAGCCTCACCCCCGGCCTGGCAGCGGCTTGGAGGAGGGAGGGAAAGGAGGAACATCTACCCGGCTAAGAGACGCCGCCGGAGTCCCTAAAGCTGGCGGGGGAGGGAGGCCGGGGCCCGGATCATCAGAGCGGCCGCAGCCGGGAGGGCGACCCTTTGTCGGTGCAGGAAATCAGACCCTGCAGCCTTCGCCAGGACGCGGCGGGGCTGCAAGAGAGGAGGAAGGAGCGGGACTCCGGCCATCGGGGGGCGCGGGCGGCATGAGCTCAGCCTCATCTCCCCGCGTGCCCCGCCACCCGCTCGCCCCCTTTGCCGCCGCGGGTCTCCCTGGTCCCCGCGCCTGCCCGCCCCGACGCCTTCGCGTGGTTCCGCGCTGCCCGCGGCCAGCCCTGTTTCGCTTCCCAAGGAGCGCGTTGTTTTCTCAATCGAAATAGGATCAAGAGCCCAGGGTTTCCTTGTCTCCTTGTTTGGAGGTGATAAGATCTTGGCCAACAGATCGAAAAAGTGAAAAGCGCCCGTCGAATCTTGTATCAAGTGTCTCCGTGGAAGGATCGTTTACTTGGAAAAGTAGAATACATTCTGTTGCCGTTTTCCTTCCGGAGGCGTGCTCATCCTAGAGCTCCTAGACTCACTGGCGTTCGCTGTACCTTCCTCCTGGGCTTCACCGGTGGGATTTCAAGAATGACTGGGACACTTGGGTGGTCTATGGGTGGCAGGTCCTCAAGGGGCCGTTTCTTTCATGCACTCAAGGGTCGCAGCTTTATTTTAGCAGAAGCAATATCAAACCTTATCTTAGAGGTTTGTTTTGCAAAGAATCCAGAGTTTCCTATATTTGACATTATTTTAAAATAAGACTTGCTTCTTTTAAGGAATTGAGAGAAACAGACAAAAGGAAAGTTGAAATCCTTGCTTCCCATCCCTACTCTAGGAGGTAATCCTGATCAACAGTTTGGTTTGCTCCCTACCCCCATTCCTTAAGAAACAAAAAACAAAACTATACTTTTGAATTGCGTTAAATTGTGTAGGATTACATAGGATTTTGTAAAAATAAAAATGGGATTATACTTCAGCCATTTCTGCAATGGTCTAGCTCCTAGTAGTCATCATTCCCTATCAGTATACTAGAATTAATCTTATTTTATTATTTTTATTATTTTGAGACAGGGTCTCACTTTGTCACCAGGCTGGAGTACAGTGGGGTGATCTTGGCTCAATGCAGCTCAATGCAGGCTCAAGCTGTCCTCCTGCCTCACCACCTGGCCCCCTCCCCTCAAGTAGCTGGGACTACAGGCATGTGCCACCAAGCCCGGCTAATTTTTGTATTTTTTGTTGAGATGGTTTTGCCATGTTGCCCAGACTGATCTCTAACTACTGGACTCGAGGGATCCACCCACCTTGTCCTCCCAAAGTGCTGGGATTGCAGACCTGAGCCACTGCACTAGCAAATTTATTCTTTATAATGGTTTCATGGTATAGAATTTCCATTTTATAGGTGTGCCTGTAGTTTATCAGCCTCCTCTTGAAAGGTATGTAAGTTGTTGCCAGTTTTTCAATACTTCCAGCGTCTTACAAAAGCACTGTGATACAGATACATAGTTGTGCTACTGTGCCTTGTGGAAGAAATGTCCAAGTATGAAACTGCTAGATCAACAGGTAGAAACACTGATCGTTTAAACCAGCACTTTAGGGCACGGTGAGTGGCTCACGCCTGTAATCCCAGCACTTTGGGAGGCCGAGGTAGGTGGATCACTTGCGGTCAGGAGATTAAGACCAGCCTGGCCAACATGGTGAAACCCCGTTTGTACTAAAAATACAAACATTAGCCAAGCCTGGTGGTGCACACCTGTAATCCTAGCTACCTGGGTGGCTGAGGCAGGAGAATCGCTTGAACCTGAGAGGCAGAGGTTGCAGTGAGTTGAGATTGTGCCACTGCACTCCAGCCTGAGTAATGAACAAGACTCTGTCTCAAAAAATAAAAAATAAACAGGTACTTCAAACCATACCAATTTATACTTCCTCCAGCAGTGAGGGCAAGTGTCTGTTTCTCCATGCCCTCACCTAATACTGAATATTGATAATTCTTTTTTTGTTGCTGTTGTTGAGACAGGGTCTCTCTCTGTTGCCCAGGCTGGAGCATACCTCAACTGCCCAGGCTCAAGCAATCCAGTCATCTCAGCCTAATTTTTTTTTTTTTTTTGGTAGAGACAGAGTTTTGCCATGTTGCTCAGGCTGATCTCAAACTCCTAGGCTCAAGTGATCGACCTGTCTTAGCCTCCCAAAGTGCTGGGATTATAGGCATGAGCCATGATGCCCGGCCTTTTAAAATTTTCTTTTCTTTCACAGAGACAGGGCCTCACTCTGTCACCTAAGCTGGAGTGCAGCAGCATGATTATGGCTCGCTACTGCCTTGAATTCCTGGGTTCAGGCAATCCTCCTGTGTCAGCCTCTCAAGAAGCTAGGACAACAGGTATATGCCACCACACCCACCTAACCTTTTAATTTTTGGTAGAGACAGGAGTCTTGCTATATTGCCCAGGCTAGTCTCTAACTCCTTGTTCTTGTCAAGCCATTCTCCCACCTCAGCCTCTCAAAGTGCTGGGATTACAGGTGTGAGCCACTGCACCTTGGGAGTATTGCCAAATCTTTAAAGCTGCCTGTCTTGGCCGGGTGCGGTGGCTCACACCTGTAATCCCAGCACTTTGGGAGGCAGAGGTGGGTGGATCACCAATTCAGAAGATCAAGACCATCCTGGCCAACATGCTGAAACCCCATCTCTAGTAAAAATACAAAAATTAGCTGGGCGCAATAGCGGATGTTTGTAATCCCAGCTACTCAGGAGGCTGAGGCAGGAGAATAGCTTGAACCAGGGAGTCAGAGGTTGCAATAAGCCACAAGACTCTGTCTCAAAAAAATAAAAATAAAAAGGCTTCCTGTCTTTCACATAGGAAGTAAAATCATATTCTAATTTGCCTTGTAGTCATTTACATAACAAACTTTCTCTTGAATGCCTACCTATTGATGGGCCAGTCACCAAGCCAGTACAGGGAATACAGTTGTGAACAAAGCAGTCTTGACCCCCTTAACAGCCTAATGAAGAAGGTCTGTATGTGTGTGAGTACTTGATGAATGAGTCACTATGAACTTTGGTGAGGAGGGAAGAAAGTGCCATGCGAGTCGCAATGAAAGAGAAGAGGACCATGCCTTAATCCAAGCCGGGAGTACGGGAGGGTTCTCCTAGCCTACCAAATTGGAAAGGCGTGTAGAAATGAACTTGGTGAAGGGGATGAGAACAAGTGGCACTCCAGGGCCACAGAACCCTTGGTGCCCAGGCCCTGAGCCTGGGGGGAGCTTGGCTGATTCACAGACCTGGTGTGGAGGAGACAGCTTCAGGTTGGAAAGTCAGCAGACACCAGGTCTTGCAGGGAATACTTGCTAAGATGTAAGTAGCTTTACAGTTTTACTTGCAAGTATTCGCCGAGGAGTAGTAAAAATCACTGCAGATATCAGCGTACTTCATCACTAAAGAACTTCAGCACGCATATCATTAAGTAAAATTTGGCATTTGTTTATGGGTTTTTTTTGAAAGATAAAATTTACATATGATGAAATGCATATATCTTAGCTGTACCGTAGTTTTGACAGTTGCTGGCTGGGCACAGTGGCTCATACCTGTAATCCCAGCTCTTTGAGAGGCCGATGTAGGGAGGTCCCTTGAGTCCAGGAATTGGAGACCAGCCTGGCAACATGATGAAACTCTGTCTCTACAAAAAAATACAAAAATTGGCTGGTCTCTACAAAAAAATACAAAAATTTGTCTCTACAAAAAAATACAAAAATACATCTGGTGCATGCCTGTAGTCCCAACTACTCAGGAGGCTGAGGCAGGAGGATGGCTTCAGCCTGGGAGGTGGAGGTAACAGTAAGCCAAGATGGCACCACTGCACTCCAGCCTGGGCAACAAGAGCGAAACACCCTCTAAAAAAAAAAAAAAAAAAAAAAAGTGTTGGCTGAGTGCAGTGGCTCACGCCTGTAATCCCAACACAAGGCGGGTGGATCACTTGAGGATAGGGGTTCAAGACC